CCTTCCTAATGCCATGAACCTTTAATACAGTTCCTCTGCACCGCAACCCACAGGTTGAGAACCGCTGGTTCAGGCCATGCTTATTTTCTTTCTCCCTATGGGTCCAAACTGATCAGCAAAGTTCACACAAAAATGAATGTGACAGGGTCTCTATCATTTAGTAAGTATATTGTCTGGATGTTAATGTTAAGTAGTATGTAACTGAGAATGAAATATTTGGACCACCTACAATAAGGATAAATGGTTTTTTGAAGAAAATTTGTATTCCTGTATTATGTAAAACCGAGGCCTACATAAGCAGGTTTTTGTCCTGGAAATTGTGTGATTATCTATTGCTATGTAACAAATTACCCTACGTTGAGCAGCACATCACAACAGATACTTCTTATGTCACACCGTTTCTGAGGATCAGGAATTGGGGGTTTCACCAGGAGCTCTGGCCCAGGTTCTCTCCTGAAGCTGTCAGGCAGGGTGTGAGTCATCTGCAGGTTTGTGTGAGGCTAGAGGATGCACTTGTAAGATGGACCATTCAATCGCCAAAATGTGGAAACAGCCTCAACGTCCACCAACCACGAATGGATTAACAAGTTGTGGTATATGAATACCATGGAATACTATTCAGCTATTAAGAAGATGGAGACTTTACATTCTCTGTATTAACCTGGATGGAAGTGGAACACATTATTCTTAGTAAAGCATCACAAGAATCCTATGTACTCAGTTTTGATATGAGAACAATTAATGACCTAGTACATGGTGCGAAGTGGGGAGAGGGGAGAGCAGAGGGAGGGAAAAAGGGAGGGGGGTGGGAGAAAGGAAGAGCAGAGAGAGGGAAGGAGGGAGGAGAGTGGGGTCTTGGTGTGTGACCCATCTTTTGGGGGCAAGACACAATTATAAGAGGGGTTTTACCTAACAAATGCAATCAGTGTAACCTGGTATCTTGTACCCTCAATGAATCTCCAACAATTTTTTTTTTTTTAAGATGGATCTCTCATATGGCTGTTGATGGAAGGCTGCAATTCCTTGATGGCTTTAGGCAGAAGGTCATGTTTCCTTATCAAGTACTGTGTCCTTTCCAGGGATAACCAGGACGTGGCAGCTGGCTTTCCCCAGATTGAGTAATTCATGAGGGAGAAGTGGGGAAGACACAGTGGATTTTATGACCTGGTCTCCAGAGTCTTACACTGCCTCTTCTTCTTCCTCTGTTAGGAGACACTAATTCTAAAAGACTAGATTTCTAAATGTTCTCACCACAAAGAAATGATAGGGCAATGATTATGTCAATTACTCAATTTAATCATCCCATAATGTACATGCTATAAATCCCTTTGTACCTTATACAGTTACTATTCGTCAATTAAAAATAAAATGAAAGAAAAAGAAGTCACTATGTTCAGCCCACTTTCAAGAAGAGGAAAATTAGGCTCTATCTCTTGAAAGGAGGAGCAGCAAAGACTTCAGGGACATATTTAAAGCTACCACAGAAGTGATGCTACTGTCTCATCTGAATAATTGATCTGAACTTCTTTGCACCCAGTAGAACTCTGTGATTGTGTGCACTTTTTTGGTGACAATTTTTAAGTAATAACTTTTCTATATCTTGATTTAAGAATAATAAATATTAATTATAGAACATTTAACAAATATAGAAAATTTAAAAACATGACTCATAACCACTTTTAACATGTTTTTGGTTGTGAATGTATGTGCATACACAAATATTAGTGTATGCTCATACACATATAAACACACATGTATACACGATCTGACAATTAAGTTCACAGTCTGGCCACCACGTGCTTACATTGGCAACACTGCACTTGGCTTAGTAGAGGGTTCACAAACTTGGAATAGCAGAGTCTCATCGCTGTGTTTGTAGTGATATGTGGTGGTGTCTTGCTGAGTGGTGTTCATTACTGATGTGTGTTTTCATGAGATGTCAAACTTGAATTAGAGCAACAAACATTCATAAATTTCTTGTTAAACTTGTCAAAAGTGGAAGTGAAATCAGGGACATATTAGTCCAAGTTCATGTGGATAATGCCATGAAGAAAACTTCAGTGTACAAGTGGATGAAACGTTTATCTGACGGGAGAGACAGTGTCCCTGAAGAGTGGTCAGGGTGGCCAGTAATGGGCAGAACTGAAGAGAACATGGCAAAAATGTGTTGAATTGTGTGTCAGAATCAATGCCTGACTGTGAGAAGCACAGCAAGCCAAGTTCAAACAGTAGGGAAACAGGGAAATCTTTACTGAAAGTCTTGGCATGAGAAAGGTGTGGCTCTTGCATCACGGCAATGCACCAGCTCACGTGGCACTCTGTGTGAGGGAGCGAGCGTTCAGCCCGCAAACAAATAACCGTATTGGAACATACTCCTTACTCACCAGATCTGGCCCCTGGTGAGTTTTTAATTTCCCCACATTTTGGGGACCTTTAGGACATCAAGGGTAATATGACAACAGCTCTTATGGCCATTCCTGAAAGAGTTCCACAGTTGCTGTGAAGGGTGGAGTAGGCCCTGGTGTAGGTGCTGAGCTTCCCAGGGGAGATTCAGAGGTGACCGTAGTGATATTCAACGAGGTAGCACTTTCTAGGATGAGTTCACGAACTTAATCGTCAGACCTTAATACCTTATAAATATGATAAATATTTTGGACTATATGTGTACATATTACTTTTATATATAAAGAAAATTTATCCCATCATTAAAATTTATTTGGAAACATAATTATAATGGCTACATAACATTCTATGAATACATAGAACACAGGCTTTTAACTTCCTTCTATCACAATAAATAACAATGTAATAAATATCTTTGCAGAATGCATTTGTATCTATCATTTCCACATGGTAAGATCTTCAGAGTAGGGGTTGGTGCCGGTGCCCACGTACAGCCAGCCCCTCAGTCGAACCCTAACTTCACAGAACAAACCCCCTCACTAAAAAAATTTGTTCTGTACAATTGGGACTCAGTCAAACGGCTACACTCAGTGACCGAAGGCCCCACGGGGCCCCAAGGTGGCAGGTTCCCCGCAGGGCGCTGGAATGGCCATCTGGTGATTCACTGAGTACTTAATACTCTCATTTCTTAAACTTTGCCGTAGACGGAAACGCGTATTTCATTTTCCTTCACTTTGTGTTCTGCGGGCTGGTCAGGTTCTGTTTTGTCGTCTCCCAGCTCCGGATTGGCTGTTGCTTGCTCGGCGACGTGTCCCGCGCGGTCGGCAGAGGGCGCCGGAGAGACCGCGGGGGCAGCGTCTGCGCAGGTGCCGCGCCCCGCACTGTCCCCGGCCGCCGGGCAGAGCGGCCTTCCCGGGATAGCCGCCCGGGGGCGCAGCCCCTCCAGCGCCCGTTCCCGTGAGCGCTTCTCCAGCTTTGGGTTTGGCCAGTGCGGTCTAACCTGGAGCCCCAGAGGACTGTCCCTCTGCTCTCCATGTCCCTCAGCCGGGCGCACACCCACAGAGACGACCCTGCGGCAGGTCCCCAGCGGGTCACTGGGCGACCTTGTCGTGCGCGGGCTTAAAGATGCCCCGCCAGCTCTCGGTCCCGGCAGCGCCTGCAGCTGCTCCCCGATTCCTTTGTGCCCACCCTTAGCAAAGCCCCAGGCTGCTCAAGCATCTGCCCACCCGCCGCAGGTCACCTATGCCCCAGATGGTTGCCCCTGCTGGCCGGGCACCTGCGGTCCTGCTCTGGCCCGGGCCGCCCGGAGCACTCCTATCGGGCAGACAGGGAGCGCTCCTCGGGGAAGGTAGAAACTCCGGTTCCGAGCTTTTCCTTTTTAGAGGCCTCTCCCTCTGCCTTACAGTCGTCTTTCCATTTTAGCTGTACGCTCCTACCGTAGCTTAGTAATTCTTTACGCTAAACTACCCCTTTTGAATTTCTGCATGGATTCTGTCTCCTGATTAGATTAATGCCGTGGATCACTCTAAAGATCATCTTTTCTCATATACTTGTACTTTGTACTTCCTCTAGTGATTTTATTTCATCCCGTCTACTTTCTTTTTTTCTATGCAATTTATAGACTTTCATATTGAAGATCAATCTTTTGTCATGTGTATGGCAGGTACTGGACAGTACTTTAATAAGTGTTCTGAATTTTAACTATTACATTTGCCCTATTTTAGTGAGATGAGATTATTTTCTTATTAATAGATAAAAGTATAAGCCTCTGTTAGACTCAGTAAAAGAGATTTTCTAGGAGTGAAAAGGCCACAGCACATTTTCCTCTTCATCCAGTTTAGAGATGGTAACACTGAGAAGTAATACCTTTATCTTAAAATTGTATCTGATTTTAATTTTGGTAATTACAGCCGTATTCCTTAGTACGTGTAATATGACTACACGATTTAATAATATGCTTATTAGGAATGTAAATGTAATTAATTTAGAGAATGGAAGAATGCTATATAAAACTCCATTTTAATAGAGATTTCTTAACATAACCATAGACAATACTTGTGGCATTTCTTCATTCTCAGCGTTTTTTCCAGATGTGTTAAGCAGACCCTGTAAGGATCGTGGGAGATGTCTTGTAGGATAAGAAAGGTGCCAGCAGGGCCGGGCTCCAGATCCCTGCCTGGCTTCAGCTACAA